AAAAAAAAGAAAAAAACAACAACAAAGTTTTTAAATAAATTTCTTATAGAAAACTATCGTTTCAACAAAATATATTCATAATTATTCGTATATAGATGAAACAGATAAAATATATTTAAAGGTGATTTGTTATAAAATGTCATCGATGAAGAAACGATTCTCGTTTGATCGTAAAATTCGATTTATGATAACAAAGTTCCGGCACATATTTCCTACACCATTTTCCCCCTTCCCCCAGTTCTTTTTCTTCTTCTTCTTTTTCTCTTTCTTCTTCATCATCATCTACTCGGAGAATTAATGATCCGTAAACGAACACGATTTCCTTTCTTACAATTTACATTTATTCTATAGTTTAGATTTTTTCTAACATCACGCGATCGTGATTAATGAAAAGAAAACTATTTGTTATTATGTTCAAACAAATCTTTCAACAAAATAAAAACTTTAATATACCTTAAAACTCATCCCTAACTTACTAATATATCATCAAAGACAAATTCAATTTTAAATTTATATAATTATTAAATAAATACTCGGGATTCTTGATAACAATAAAAAAAATAAGAAATAAATAAAATAATATAATAATATAATATATGAAATATAAATAATATATAATAAAAAATAAATATAAAATAAATAAAATAATCCTGGAAATATATAATAATATTAATTGTTCTTATTTATTACTCCAACTATTATACTTAAGATGATTTTGTTAACAAACGTAATATCATTTTCTTTATTTTTTTGTTTGTATTATATATTTAACGTTCGACAATAAGGAAGAACAATTTGCTACGATTGAAAGAAAAACGAGGCCGACTATGCTACCCTTGGTTTCTACATTTATTTCCCCCCAACCCCTTTTTTCTTGTTCCCTTCTTTACTTGACAATTCCTTCCTTAAGAGAAGATAAAGTAGAGTGAAAGGTTCGTTCATTCGTTCGTTCGAGGGGGAAGGGTATACTGTTATAGTTTGAGAGGGTGAGAGGAATAAAAAGAGGAAAAAAAAAGAAAAAAGATTCATCTGCCAGTAGATGATGATCCCTTTGTGTTGTTAAACTGGACGCCTTTTGCGAACATTTTCTTCCAAGTAATCGTTGCGTTTCTTCCTGCTAATATTCTTTCACATTTTTCTTATAACATCTTTCTCATTCCTTCTAACTAAACCACCCTCTCTCTCTCTCTCTTTCTCTTCTCACCCCCATTTTTGTTCCTTTTCTCTTTATCCATCTAACGCCTTAGCCGCAAGGATAAGCGGCAGAAAAGCAATTCGCGACGTTACTTCGAAAGAAATTCACGGACTAACGGAGACTGGAGGAGGGATGAAAAGAAGAGGGTAGTAGCAAAAAGAGAATAAGGGTTGGTTAAGGGCGAGATACTAGAAAAGACGAGGTTGGAGGGTGGAAAGACGACTCGAATCGACCCGGAACACCCTCGTTTGTCCACGGTAGGCGGGGCAAAGTGTACCACCCTCAACCCCGCCACCCTTTTTCCCAGGCATGCCTTTACTTTTTCTTTCTTTCTTTCTTTCTTTCTTTCTTTCTTTCTTTTCTTTTCTTTTCTTTCCTTTGCTTTGCTTTACTTTACTGTTCTTTTATTTTCTCTTTTCTTTTTTTACTTTTATTTTTATCCAGCTATGTTCCGTTTTGACTCTTTTGCTATTTTCTTACATCAAGAAAACACATAACTATGACACCCTTTTGCTTCGCTAAATTCATGATTTACATTATTCTTCAATATATATATATATAACAATTTACTTTAATTTATATACATTATTTATAAATATATTTATGCAATAATTTACTAAAAATTTCCTATATTGCAATATTGTAACCATAATTTTTACCTATTTTATATGAAATATATATATTTTTTGTAATATTTATTATTTATATTTTATTAAAATAGAAATATTTTATTATATACTATTATTATATATTACATATATAACATATATAACGTATATATTATATATATACATATATATATTTTATTATATATTTTTAATATATACTATATTATATATAATATTATATATACTTAACAAATATTTGTTTAGGAATATTAGAAATATTTTACATATAGGAATATTTTATACTTGTTTATAGGAATATTTTGAATATTTTAATATTAAAATAAATTAAATATACCTAACAAAATGTTGTAAACATTACACATTGATCATAAAATATTATTTTAAATAATGTCATTATCATTATTAATATTATTATAATATATTATTTTTGTTTTCAAAAATATTTCGATTTTATAGGAATATTAAAATATTTTAATATTAAAATAAATTAAATATACCTAACAAAATGTTTGAAACATTACACATTGATCATAAAATATTATTTTATATAATATCTTCATTATTATTAATATTATTATAATATATAATATTATTTGTTTCAAAAAATATTGCTATTAAATTATTAAAAATAAATAATTTTGATATATACATATATATATATTAATTGTATATGTAAAAGTATATAATATTAAGTAGTAGTACTTTTGGTTTTATTTTTTATTTTTTGGGGGATCGATAATTCAAGAAATTGTTGAAAAACACTTGTTATATCGATCAGAAGTTATTTAAAGATTAGACAAGTACCTACTAGATATTTTTGATATGTTATTTTCTACTTTAGATCGTTGAAAGTTTTTACATCGAAGAAACGATGAAATGAAAACCAAAATAATCTTTAGCAATAAAAAGAAAAATATCGAAGAGAGAATATCTTTGGAGGTTACATTTGAAATTTGTTTTTCTTTTTTCTTTTTTCTTTTTTTTTTTTTTTTTTAAAAAGACTCGTTAGCAAAGGCACATACCTAAAGTAGAAAGATAGGTTGAAAAAAAAAAAATATTGTTTAAGAAACAAATTCTTTTAAAGGCACGTGGCTTTTGCAACATTTTTCACGCTTGTAAACGATTTAGTAACTCCTTGAATATGTGTATGTTTGTATATGTGTGTGTGTGTGTGTGTGTGTGTGTGTGTGTGTGTGTTTTGAGAGGTCTCTCAGGGCAAGGTGGTGATCCTTTCTAACTTTCAAGGTTCTTTCGAGACTCTCTTTTCGAAAAGATTTTTATTATGAATCTTCAAGGTTCTTTTCTGTTATTTTCAAATTCATGTATTTCTTTCTTATTTTTCTTTTCTTTCCTTTCCTTTTCTTTTTTTTTTTTTTTGCTTCAAATTCTAACCAATTATTTTCAAACCAACGAATGAGACATCCCATTTATTTTTCCCACCCCTGATAGTCGTGAAATAAAAAAATAAAAAAAAAATAATCTACCAAAGGAAATAATATTAGCATGATTAGATAAGATCAAAACAAATCAAATCAAATAAAAGAAAGAAAAAAAAAAAAACTGGAAAAGTTTTGTTGTAAAATATGTGTTGTTAGTTGGTAAAAAAGAAAAAAAAAAAAACTAGAAGGTGGGTGAAAAAGGAAACGTTCTGAATCATCGAGAAATGATTATTGGCACAGTGCCAAAAGATAGTCATCTCGATTCTATTCGAGCGTAAAACTGCTATCGAAATTTCCGCATATGTGTATCGATATAATCTGAATAGTAATTTTAGTAGAAGAATAATGATCATCGATCAATCCTACACATATACAGATAAATAATACATACACGTATTATCGTTATGTAGAGATTCGATCAATATGACGAATCACAAAAGTGAAATGTTGCGTAGAAAAGTTGATTAGTATTAGAACAAAGGATTATACGCTAATATGCTGTAGTCATTTAGTTTACCTAAATATTTTAGTTATCACGTAGATCGCAGATGCATCTTGGATTGCGATTTAAGAGAACGTGCCTATATACATATATATATACCTAAATATATATTTACAGTAACTATTTACATAAGCATTACTCATACACATACATATACATGAATAATTATATTTATATATATATATATATACAGGGTTTCTCGTAACTTGTGATGCAAATCTAACAAGTTAATGATTCTACGTGAAAAAAAAAATTAATCGTACATTGTTTTGTTTTTAAATAAAAATAAATTAGAGAAAATTTGTCGAGTGTTATTAAGATTAAGTTTGAATTCATTTTATTATATTATTTTTGAATATATATTTTAGAAATTATTATATTGTTATAATTAATATAATAGTTTATGTTTTTTTTTTAATTAAAAGTCACTCAAAATAGGTTCTAATCTTTTTTAATAAGATATCATTATTTTTGTGAAATATATTTAATAACAATTATTTCATAAAAATTATCAATAGCAATATGTAAAAATATTAAGAAAAAGTAAACGTTACTGAAATCTAACTTTTCCCAGATTTACAAAATTTATTATACGAACAATAACTTTTTACTTTACAAAAATTAGTATATTTTAATTATATTAATTAATATATTAATAATATAATAAATATAAAATACTTTAAAATATTTAAATATATTTTAGAGTTATTATATATTTATTATTATATATTACATATATTATATTATTTTATGCATATTAAATTTTTTATATTTTTTAATAAAATTAAATATTATTTGTATTATATATATATTACATATATTATATTATTATATATTATTATTATATATTATTATATATTTATAATTATTTCAAGTATATTAATAAATGAATTATGATTGAACATAAATATTATTTATACCATAAAAATAATAGTCAAAGTACACGCGTGCACTCACATAAGATTTCTAAGCTTATTTTTATCGAAAAAAAAAAAAAAACAAAAACAAAAATCCTTGTATGAACAAAATTTTATCTTTAACATAATCGATTTAATTATTTTCACCTAGAATTATTTTCTATTATTTTTGTTTTAACAAAAGTTACGAGATATCTTGTTTCTATATATCAACATTCATATATTTACTATATGATATCACGTCGTTCAATAAAAATTTGACAATATGATTTGAATTAAACGAATTTAACGATTTTTCGTGATTTTTTCTCTTTTTAGATCGCTGCCGAAACTCAGCAGCCAGGACGAGGATGGGCCGAACCCTCACACCCAATACACAGGCGTCACACACTTCGAGCCCATACCGCACGATCATGACTTTTGTGAGAGGGTCGTCATCAACGTGAGTAAAATCCCATATCCATAGTTTTATTTTATTTCTTCACACATTCGATGGATATATACATAAAAGAATTTACAAAATTCCATTTCATTTCAAATCTAAATGAACCCTTTGCACTTTTAAAATACACTTATAAAAAAAAACACACACACACACACAAAATGCACTAATACAAAATACACGTATAGCATAAAATATTTCGAATGCAAAGGGTTAATCTTTTTAATAGAAAATAAAATATATATATATATATATATATCATTTTTTTTTTTTTTTTTTTAAGTTGAAATGTTAAAACGTTTACAATTTTTTATTAGTAACAAAAAACTTACTAAAGATATGATTTATAATTATTTACTTTTTGTGAAGTAATCACAGATAATAATAAATTTGTTCATAAGTATACTTATCATCGCATGGTGTAAGACCCTTATGAGTCAGTCGCTCGTACGTATGGGGCCTTTGCATGAACGATCCGTATATGGATCCCTAGTATAACAAATAACTCAATAGAAACAAATATTACAGTAATCGTATATTCAAATTAGTTAGTTAGTTAATATACATTTAAATTATTCATGTAGAAAATTATCACCCCCCCCCCTCCAAAAAAAGAAAACAAAACATAAATCTTAGAAAGAATAATTTTTCAATGGATACAATCAATACTATCCCCGTTTTGTTATTTATCATTTCATTCCTTTTTTTTTTTTTTTTTTTCTTATTCTTTTCTCGAACAAAATCATAAATATTATCGAAGTACAGAGAAGTACATACTCGTGTATTTAAATTAGATAGATAGATTCGATTTTTATTGGAACAATTCCCAAGTCTACTTTACGATAAGAGTTGTGTTTCACAACATGGGGTAGGTAAGAGAGTTTAAGGGGTAGAAAAAAGAAAAGAAAAAGAGAAAAAAAAAAGTAATTCATACCTTTTGCAACAACACCGGGTCGTCAGTGAGAACACCTTCAGTTTCTTTTTTTCCTAAAGGAAGATTATCTCAAGACACGAAGTGACCTACAGACCGTATTTGGCAAGCATCCAAGTTCGTCTTGGAATCAGGGGCAATATAGTACCAAGGTCGTATTGTGTGAACGGAATTATCTGTCCTCGTGGATGACACGACTGCATTGCGCCAATTACAGTTATCTGTTCGATCGTTTTTCAAAATCGCTTGGGGCCTGACAATTGACACTAAATGATACCTTACAAATATCCATGTTTTCGTTGCTTAAAAAAAACAGAGGAACAAGTTTAAAACTAACATTATAATTATATTCATATCGTTTATTATTATTATTATTATGGTTTATTGAAATGAAAATGTAAGGTTTTAACTCTTTGAGATAGGATAGTATTAAAAAGTATCGTTCAACCTTTTCTTGATGGGTAAATGTACACGTTGAAACTATTTCAGTATCACCCTATAACAAAACAATTTTAATTTCTATATTAGGTTATTATTTTATTAATAAAAATTAGGTTAATCTTATGCAATTTATAAAATAATCAAATTTTACTAAGGTTTCAAATTTGAGATAGGGTAGTATTAAAAAGTATCGTTCAACCTTTTCTTGATGGGTAAATGTACACGTTGAAACTATTTCAGTATCACCCTATTACAAAACAACTTAAATTTTTGTGTTTCTATATAAGGTTATTACTTTATTAATACAAAAATTAAGTTAACCTTATGCAATTTATAAAAAAAAAATCCAAATCTGTGATACAATGAACATTTTATTTTATTTTGAAAAATTCCGTACCTCAAAGGGTTAATCATTGAACACGTTAATTATCCAACACAATCAATCTATAAATTAAGAAATTGTATAAAATATACAATTTCATAATATTTATAATATATCTTGTCACAAATTCATTTCAGCTTTGGAATACTTTTAAAAAATACCCTCCCCATAAAATCCAATAATATTTTATTACATTTACTATGTTAGAAAGAAAAATCGTTTGAAAATGTATATTTGATTGATGATAAAAAAAATAAAAGAAAAAGAAAAAGGAAATAAAAAGGATATTATAGGACTTTGTCTTGGACAGGTGAGTGGATTACGGTTTGAGACACAACTGCGCACGCTAAACCAATTCCCGGACACGCTGCTTGGCGATCCGGCAAGGCGGCTTCGATATTTCGATCCGCTTCGCAACGAATATTTCTTCGACCGGAATCGGCCTTCCTTCGATGCGATACTTTATTATTATCAAAGCGGTGGTCGACTTCGACGGCCAGTCAACGTTCCCCTCGATGTGTTCTCCGAGGAAATCAAATTTTACGAATTGGGCGAGCTTGCAACCAACAAGTTCAGGTACGATCACATTTGAGAAAGTATAATGTACATTTGATTTTTGTTCTTCCTCTTTCTCTTATTTTTTGAACCCCCTTTTGCCTGTGTCTGACTCGTGATAATAATTTTGGAGCAAGGATAAATATTACGTGTCACACACGTGGAAATAAATGTAAAACAAATGTATGGATTCTTCAGTATCGTTTGATAAAATCAGTGTAACTTAACTGTATCATTTTTCATCAGTATTTTTAATATATCAAAAACGAATATGAAACTGTAGGAATCACAATAAATTGTGTATTGAATTATATAAAATTTTAATTTACACATTGTGGTCTTCGTTTATTTGTTTTATTTTATATTTGATCAAGTCCAAGATAAATATTAATTTTAATTAATATTAATATTAATTAATTTTGTACGAGCTCCTTGGCAATAGAACAATTTATTAAATGATATTTGCATAGAATAATCTCGAATAAAACTATGAACACAAAAGTGTAATGGAGTTCCTGTAATTTAATAAAAGAAACCTAACGATTACTTTTTAAAATAAAATAAATGAATAAAAACAAAAAGAAGATGATAGTAAAAATGAGGAATATTATAATTAACAGGGAGGACGAGGGCTTCATCAAAGAAGAGGAGAAGCCGCTGCCGTCGCACGAGTTCCAGAAGAAGGTCTGGTTGTTGTTCGAGTACCCGGAAAGCTCGCAGGGAGCACGGGTGGTCGCCATAATATCCGTGTTCGTGATTCTTCTCTCGATCGTAATATTTTGCCTAGAGACCCTGCCAGAATTTAAGCATTATAAGGTCTTTAATACTACGACGAACGGCACGAAGATCGAGGAAGACGAAGTGCCGGACATAACTGACCCATTCTTCCTAATAGAGACTATTTGTATCATCTGGTTCACGTTCGAATTGTCCGTGCGCTTCCTCGCCTGCCCAAATAAATTTAACTTCTTCCGTGACGTAATGAACATCATCGACATCATCGCGATCATTCCTTACTTCATCACCCTCGCCACCGTAGTGGCCGAGGAAGAAGACACGCTTAATCTACCAAAGGCACCGGTTAGCCCTCAGGACAAGAGCACGAATCAAGCAATGTCCCTGGCGATTTTACGAGTCATCAGGCTCGTCAGGGTGTTCCGGATATTCAAATTGTCCAGGCACAGTAAAGGCCTCCAGATACTTGGACGTACTCTGAAGGCCTCTATGAGGGAACTCGGTCTTCTCATCTTTTTCCTTTTTATCGGTGAGTTTCATTTATTATTCGCATTCGTTATTTATATAATTATTTCATACGATTATATTATTATTATTAAGTCTATGTGTGTGTGTGTGT